AGTCTGCTTCTCCCTCTGCCTCTCTCTCTCTCTCTCTCTCTCTCTCTGTGTGTGTGTGTGTGTGTGTGTGTGTGTGTGTCTCATGAGTAAATAAAGTCTTTAAAAAAATAACAATAAAGACAGACATATATGTAGAAATCTGGTAATACATGTAAGTATGCAGAGCTTTACCTATCACAGATGGAGAGGAGGTAGAAATGAAAAATAAATCATGGTGTCTTCAGTGAAGCTTAAAATGTAGCCTGAACAATGGGTAGGTAAAGCTGACACTTAATGGGCAAGAATACTCAGTTTCAAAGTTCAGCTTTTAAAGTTTGATATTACAGTTTGTTCTACTTTTATCTTCTCCATTCATTTGGTACACAGTAGGCTATTTTCCCTCCCATTTTGGGGGAGGAGAAAAAAATGACACTTTACAGAATCAAGCATAATATAAGGACCTGCTCATATCCCTTCCCTGCATTTGCAACCTTTAAATCTAACACTCACTAAACTCTTTCTTTGGTTAGCAAAATCTAGCCTCTGAAGGCAACATATTCCTTTTTTTTTTTTTTAAAGATTTTAGCTATTCATGAGACACAGAGAGAGAGGCAGAGACACAGGCAGAGGGAGAAGCAGGCTCCATGCAGGGAGCCCGATCGGGACTCGATCCCGGGTCTCCAGAATCACACCCTGGGCCAAAGGCAGCACTAACCGCTAAGCCACCCAGACTGCCCAAGACACTGTATCTAGGCTTAAAATCAGCTCTACACAAAAATTCATTCTAAACAAGAAGCCTGGGCAGCCCAGGTGGCTCAGTGGTTTAGCGCCACCTTCAGTCCAGGGCGTGATCCTGGAGACCCAGGATCGAGTCCCACATCCGGCTCCCTGCATGGAGCCTGCTTCTCCCTCTGCCTGTGTCTCTGCCTCTCTCTCTCTCTTTCTCTAATAAATAATAATCTTTTTTTTTAAAAAAAAGGCATTAAACAAGAAGCCTTTTTCAAATCAGTAGAGTATACATAGTTACAGAGACAAAGGACATGGTTCCAGTTATCTTGTCACTGGCACAGACATATAACAACCCTAAACAGAGAAGTAAAACAATAATTTTCATTATGTTTATGGATTCTTTTTAAGACTTTATTGCTTTCTCAGGAGTTTTAGATTTACAACAAAATTGAGCAAAAGGCACAGAGAATTCCTATATAACCACTGTCCCCCCACATGCACAGCCTCTCCCATTATCAGTATTGTTCACCAGAAGAGTACACATTTTACCAAGGATGAATCTACATCAAGACAGCAAAATTACCCAAAGTCCACTGTTCACCTTAGAGTTCATTCGTGGATTTGGACAAAAGCATAGTGACTTATATTCACCATCATAATATATGGAATATTTACATTGCCCTAAAAATCCTCTATAGTTTGCCTATTCATCTCTCCCTTGTCCCCATCTGGCAACCACTGATTTTTTTTTACTGTCTCCATAGTTTTGTCTTTTCCAGTATGGCACATCGTTGGAATCATAAGGTGCAGCCTTTTCAGATTGGCTTCTTTCACTTAGTAGTATTAAGTTTCCTCCACGTCTTTTTATAGCTTGATAGCACAGTTCTTTTCAGTGCTAAATAATATTCCATCATCTGAATGTACCACTGTTTATTAATCCACTTGTCTACCAAAGGATATCTTGGTTGCTTCTAAGTTTTGTCAATTATGAGTAAAGGTGATTTAAACGCAGATGTGCAGGTTTCTGTGTGGACATAAGGTTTCACCTCCTTTGGGTAAATAGTAACAAGTGCAATTGCTAGATCACATGGTAAGGATATGTTTCATTTTATAAGAAACTTACAAACTATCTTCCAAAGTGGTGGCACCATTTTGCATTCCCACTAACAAAGTATGAGAATCCTTTTGCTCCACATCCTCACCAGTATTTGGTGTTGTCAGTGTTCTGGATTTTGGCCATTCTAATAGGTGTGTAGTGGTCGTTTTGTTTTACTTTGCATTTCCCTAATGATACGACGTAGAGTTATCTTTGTATATACTCATTTGACATCTGTATTATCTTCTTTGGTGAGGTCTGTTAAGCTAGTTGGCCCATTTTTTTAATGAGTTATTTTCTTATTGTTGAGTTTTAAAGGCTCTTTATACATTTTGTATAATAGTCCTTTATCAGCTGTATTTTTCGCAAATATTTCTCCCAGTCTGTGTCTTGTTTTCTCAATTCTTCTAAGGCCATCGATTCTTCAAGTCAGGAACGAGGTCAGAGAGCAGAAATGGCTCGCTTCTGGTCCACAAGTCTATGGCCTTAGCTGAAGAGTGGCTCAAATGGCTGAGAGCTGCAATCTGATTCTCCATTCATGTAACTGGCACCTGAGCTAGCTGGAGGGCTGGGCTCAGCTGTGACTGTCAAATGAGAGTATTTCAAGGGGTCTCCTTATAGTTATGGGCTTTTCACAGCACACCAGACACAGGTAGTCAGACTTCTTACACGATGGCTGAGAGTTCCCAAAATAAGTGTTTCAATAGGCAATATGGAGTTGTATGGCTTTTTATGACCTAGCCTCTGAAGTCACATATGGTGATTATGATCACTTTCACTATATTCCATTGTATAAGTCAATCATAAGCCCAACCAGATTTCAGGGGAGGGGACACAAGGTATACCTTTCTATGGAAAGGACATCAAAGAAGTTGTAGTCATATTTTAAAACTACCATGGACATATTAATATAGAGAGATATAGAGATATATGCCAAAGAGCTAACAGTGCCCACCTCCCAGGGTCCCTCAAAGTGAATTTTATTAACTCATTATTTTAAGTCAGACTAACCCAAACACATCTTTCATGGATGGCAAAATTCCATCTACTTATTTTCATATACTACAGTAACAAACAGAAACTTCATTTTATCTATATAAACTGCATCCAGAATGACTAATATCTTACTTTTGGCCATATACCATCTGCCAGTTACAACCATTTCTTATTTTCCAAACACTGAGAAGTTCAGATCCACCCTCAGGCTTAGGCTAAGTCATATCCAGAAAGAATACAGAGAATACCTATCGCAAGTAAAGCAAGTAGATTTGGGTCATTTCAGCATTATGATTGCTGAAATTGGTGGCCATTGTCTATATCAGTGATTGCTAGACTTTAGGATTTCATGAACCAAGAAAAATTTCAGAAATAAAATAAACCAGATGGGGGCAAATATAGTTACCAACATTTTATTTTCCTAGGAAAAATATTTAGAAAACAACTGCTCTATAGCTATCATCACATAAAAGAATGGACAATTTCAAAATAAAGCACAATCCTTAAGAGTAAGTCTTACTAAATGAAAACTCACTATATATATATTTTTTTTTCTCATTTCTCTGCTAATCTGCAGAAACTTCCCCATAGTTGAACCCTAGTTCACAAACTGGTATGTAAAACCACTTGTGCATCTGACATTCTGGTCTCTTCCACCTCTTGATTTATTCTAATAGTTCTAAACTTTAGCTTGCTCCTAGGAACTTGGTCTAAAAGACATACAAATAAGTAATTATAATACAGCATGAATGCTGTAAGGATACAGGGGAAAATATCACAGAAGGTTTCATCCACTGGGTGAAAAAAGTTTGCTCATGTGCAAGAATGAGGAAGACTATTAAATATTAAAGGTGGCAACGACTATGGCTGAAAGCACAGAGGCCATCTGTGTGTGCAGTATATCCAAGGAAGATATATATACTGTGTCCCAAAAAAGTAAGTAGTGGTTATACTTGGTTGTAGAAGAAGGGTTACTTTTCTTCATTCTTCTATTTTCTGAAATTTAACAATGGAATATGCATTCATTTAATGGCCAGGAAATAAACAACTATCGTAATTTTGTAGACTACAGTAGGAAGAAAAAACAAAAGGCCTATTTCCCTTTAAGAAAGCAGTTCATAGGGATCCCTGGGTGGCGCAGCGGTTTGGCGCCTGCCTTTGGCCCAGGGCGCGATCCTGGAGACCCGGGATCGAGTCCCACATCGGGCTCCCGGTGCATGGAGCCTGCTTCTCCCTCTGCCTGTGTCTCTGCCTCTCTCTCTCTCACTGTGTGCCTATCATAAATAAAAAAACAAAAATTAAAAAAAAAAAAAAAAAAAGAAAGCAGTTCATATTAAAAAGAAGCCAGGTTGGAAAATGGAGATGTTAAGGATTTGGAAGATGGGTGCAGAAATCCAGCTCCAGAATCTGGCTAGGACAGATGACAAGGGGGAAGATAACACTCCCTCAGTGCCTCTGTGAGAATTCTAGGCTAGCTGCACTCAATACTCAGGTCTTCTTGTCCACGGAGTCATTAGTCAGAAATTCTCAGGTGGCAGGTGCTGACAGGTCACTGCTTAGCAGTGCTTCTGGAGTCAAGGCACCAAGGTTAGAATTCCGGCTGTACCACTAAGTAGCTCAATGAGCAAAAGCAAATGACTAAACCACTAGAACCTGTTTCCTCATCTGTAACGTGGAAAACTGCCTGCCTTTCTGGATTTTTGTACAGATCAACTGATATAATGTAGGTAAAGAATTTAGTACAATGCCTGCCCCTAAGAAAATGAGAATTGCAATGTAGGACATATATATATATATATATAATCCATCAGTTAGGTATTTGTTTGCTTTACTGGTTTTGAAAGGCTTTAAGATCCTACTTGCCATGTGTTCCATAGGTTTAGCTAAAAGCTGTAAGCACATAAAAAGTCTGTCAGTGGGAATGTCAAAACCTTTTGAAACTTAAACATATGAGAGTTTTTAACACAAGTTCTGAATGCAGAAGGGATATTCATTATCTGCAGTTGCTTCTAAAATTAAGCTACCTTTAGAATGTTCTGCAGGATCCAGAGGTAACAGCCCTCCCCTAGACTCTAACAACTGATAGAAAACGAGGAGGCCGCTTCCGATTCTTCACGGACTTATTCCAGCTGGCTTCCCCATCCACTGCCAGAGAGAATCGGAGATCTGCGCAGATAAAAGGCTCAGTTCTAGGTCTTACCCAGGCTCTCTTAATGCTGGAATACAGTCAACAGAAGAATGTGGGAGGTCTTCCTCAAGTCTTTCCAAACAATTCCTACAGCTTCCAGAATTCCGTTCACGGGCCACTGGGCCCCCAGGTACCAACTGCAACGACCTCGGTCCCCCTCCTCTCTTTCCAAGCTGCTAACCCTGCTACGCCTCTCTGCAGCCCCGCCCCCTGCAAATGACCAATCAGAGAGGGTCCAGTGAGCCGGATGGGGTGGGCCCAGGTTGGCGCTGTCGACGAATCAGCACCCTCAAACAGCGGGGGCGGAAGCGGAAGCCCTGGGTTGGCCTTGGGTTCCGCTGTGGGGGATGTCCCGTGGGAGCGAGTGAGGCGATCCTGGGGCCGGCGGGTCTGAGTCCTCGCCTCCTTATCTGCCAGCCGACTCGGGCCAAGAGACGCCTGCAGGCGCGGGAGGGAGGAAGCTCGACCGCCCAAGAAAAGAGCCAGCGGGCGGGCAGCTGCGGGGCAGAACCAAGCTGTATGCAGGGTCTTTAGAAGTCGGTCCCGGTCGGCGCCGCTGTCCTCGAGGCCATGGTGCAGGCGGAACTCTGGGCGATCCCCAGGTGAGGGCAGCGGCTCCGCCCGGGGATTCCACCGCCCAGGAGCGGGTAGATGAGGGGCGGGGAAGAAAGAATGCTGCCCGCGCTGCTCCCTGGTAGCACCCTGAGCGGCCGCGGTTGCGGCGGCAGCAGCAGCAGCAGCAGCAGCAGCAGCAGAAAGCACAGCGCGGGCCGAGGAGGCGGCTCGAGCTGCTGGTAGAGTCGCCCAAGAACAACTGTTTCTCTGTAGTATGCGAGTTGACAAAACAGCCAAAGAACGGGGATCCCCAGTACAGTCTCCTTCGAGCTCTTTTTCCTTGCTACTTGGAGCTGATTTATGCGGAAACATGCCTTGCACTTGTACGTGGAGGAACTGGAGGCAGTGGATTCGACCTTTAGCGGTGGTCATCTACCTGGTGTCCATAGTGGTTGCGGTTCCTCTGTGCGTGTGGGAATTACAGAAGCTGGAGGTAAGAGGGTCCTTCACCATCGGCCTCTACCCTTTCTTCCACCGTCCTGCCCATCTAAGGTTGCCCATTTTTACCCCAGATGCCCCAGACTTGATATCCTGAAAATCATGTCATGTAAATGAGCCCAGTCTTAGTTCATAAACCTGTCTGGTTTCTTGTTCACGGTTTTTCAAAGCATGCTGCAGGTGGAAGGAGGACTAGGTCGAGAAAATAGAATATATTAAGATTGCTGCTTAGAAGAGCAGTCGTTTGCAAGTACTCATCAATTCCCAGAAAGTAGGTAATTTTATTCCTGGAATCTGACCTGTTCAGATTTGAACTTAAATAAACTACTTTGAAAACCATGTATTGAATTTTATTAGCATTTAACTAGCTTCCTGAACTGGAGTCTAGTTGGTTTAACTCTGTTGTTTGTTTGTACTTAGAAATTAGCTCTTAACCCACAAAGATTTTGCAAAAAGTCACATGTATATTTTTTGATGTCATCTTCTTATTGTGACATCAGTAAAGTACTACAAGCTGGAAGATCCTAAGGTAAATACTCAACTAGAATGGGTACTTTAGAAAACCTGTGTAATGAATTTTAAATTCTAAGTTAATAAAAACCAAAAAGTACTTTTATTTTGCAACACCTATTTTATAAGAGCTGTGGCAAGACTTTGGATCTTTTAGGCTCTTTATTATGGAAATGATTTTTACATAATTAATGCATTTTAATATACATTTGTTTTCTGTATGTTCACTAAATTATATTTTGTTGACTTGCCCATATTGGCATAGCCTATGTAGTTATTTTTAATGTTAATGTAATATTCCACTACATTAAATATTCCCCATTTGTTACATATTTAGGTTATTTTCATAAGTTGTCTACCAGAATTCAAGTATAGACATTTTTTTAAAATTTATTTATTATTCATGAGAGACACAGAGAGAGAGAGAGGCACAGACACAGGCAGAGGGAGAAGCAGGCTCCACGCAGGGAGCCTGACACAGGACTCGATCCCGGGTCTCCAGGATCACACCCTGGGTTGAAGGCGGCTCTAAACCACTGAGCCACCCGGGCTGCCCCAAGTATAGACATCTTAATACAAATAGATATCTTTTACTTGGAAGTATTTTTGGGAGGTGTGGTATAGGAACTCCTTTTAGGCTAATATGTATAATATCAACTTAGTTTAAGGTTTATCTTAGTTAGTTAACTATAGTTTTTAGTGCCGCTTTTAAGGAAAATTTTAATCTGCAGTCTCTGCTGCAAAAACCCTGAACCAAATTCTCTTCATGTCTTGTCTTAGGACTTCTCAGTTCACCAGCCAAAGTGTCTAAATAAAACAAGTCACATTACATGTGGCCTCTTTAAGTTTTGAAATCACTGAGAGTCCCAGATTAAAAGCCAGTATCCCTAACTGTGGCTATTATGGTCCAACATAATCTGACACCACCCCCTACTTCTTACCATCTGATTTTCCTCGATTCTGGGCTTCTACCACAGTGACTTTGCTCAAACATGTAGGGTGCATACATGTTTGAGGGCCTTTGCATTAAATGTTCCCCCTTTATGGTATGTTCTTACCCCAGATGGTATTCTTATTCCTTTATAATCCTTCAGGTCTTTACTCAAATGTCACCCAGCTACCCCGTTTAAAAATTGCAAGCTTTCCTTCATCCCAGTGATAAATTAGGCTTGTGTTCTGTATGGTGAGAAATAAAAACCTGGCACCTTCCTGTATGGAACTTAGAAATATAACTAAAAAAAAAAAAAACAAAACAAAATCAATAAAATAAAATTGTACAAAATGCTATGTAAGAAACTAAAAAAGGATCCAAGAAAGGAACAAGCAAGCATCTTCAAAGAACCACTACCAGCTATGGAAAATTCAGTGGAAGTAAAGGGAAGTTAGAAAGCACATTATGGTAGTTAAGAGATCATTGGTGCCTGACTTACAATGACTTATGGCCCAAATCAGCAGAAATAGAGATGGAAAACTGAATTTTAACTATCTTTGGCAGTGAAGAAACAAGACTTGACGGTGGACTGGGTTGGGGAAGAGAGTCAATAAGAATGAATCAAGGACAACTGTGAGGTTTTTATCTTGAACAACAGGGTAAATGGTGATGCCAATTACTGAGATGGAAAATAGGGATGGGTTTGAGGGAAACTGACTTCTACTTTGAACATTTAGTTTGAGGTATAGGAGAGACCATCAGATGGGCGTGTCAAATATGCAGTTGTACATGCAAGTCTAGAGCTCAGAAAGGTTTGAGCTGCAGATATTAATATGGAAGTTGTCAAAATGGACAGTGTTTCAAGTCCTAAGGATATGAGATTATAAAGGTGAAGAAGAAGAAAAAGGCTGAGGACCTGGCACCAATATTTAGGAATCAGGCAAAGGAACAGGAACTTAAAAAGAAGCATCAGCCAGTGGGGAAATGGAATGCCAAAGAGTGTTATCATGGAAGCCAGAACAGGGCAGTGTTTCAGAACTAAATAGTGAACAATGTCCAGTGCTACTGAGATGTTTGTTGGTTTTCATAAAATAGAGTCATTGGTGGTCCCAGTAATGGTTTCAGTGGAATTGTAAGGGCTAAAAACTAGAGGGAGTTGTTTGAAGAATGAATGTGAGACAAAGAAGTGGTATCAGGATACAAAGATAAGTTTTTTGTTCATTTTTGGTTTTGAGTATTTTGACTCTGAAAGGGACCTGAGAAATGAGTGGCATTATAGAAGGAAGAGTGTGGGATTAAGGAAGGGTTTGTTTTTTCTCGTTATGTTTTGTTTCTGAGGTCACATATAATAACTAGAACATGTCCCCAAGATTTTATTTATTCTTCTTAAAACCCCTAAAGCATAGGATTTTTTCTTATTCTGTAGACGTGAAAACTGAAACAGATATAGTGGTTAACATGCCATTGTGCTAAGTGCTTTATATACAGTATATCCTTATTCTCTTCATCATTATTCACTAAATGAATTTATCTATGTAAAACACAGGGCCTGCCATGTAGTAGGTCCTCAATAAGCCCTAATTATCACTGTCATTTTTTTAAATATCACTATTGCTTTGGAACAGCCATTCTCTTTCTTGTGGAATAGCATTTTAGTTGGGATCAGGTACTCAATTAAACACCTAAGGCAGGGTTACATACATCTCCTTGAGCACTACATGTTTAGAGACAGTTTTGCATGAAAAACATTTGTCTTTTTAAACACTAGAATCCCGGGCACCTGGGTGTCTCAGTGGTTGAGCATTGGCCTTCAGCTCAGGTCGTGATCCCAGGATCGGGTTCGAGTTACCCATCAGGCTCCCCACAGGGAGCTTGCTTCTCCCTCTGCCTTTGTCTCTGCCTCTCTCCCTGTGTCTCTCATAAATAAATAAATAAATAAATAAATAAATAAATAAATAAATAAATAAATAAATAAATAAAATCTTTAAGATAAGAAAAATAAACACTAGAATCCCAGTGCTTACACTATGAGAAGTCATTGGGAACCGAAATTGTAGAAAACAAGAGGTTCAAATAGTCCATCCCAGGGATGCCTATCTGCACCACTTAAACTATTTCTCTTACTTGGCTGAGCGTGTATAATGGAAATCAAGTAAGTTAAATGAACAGATAATGTCACACTATTCTGTAGTCATTTTACCCTGCCTGTACTTATGCCCCAAGTAGCTACTCTTTATGTAAGTGCTCCTCCCTTTCCCTGAGGAGGACTGGACCCAGGGAGCGTTCTCTTATTGCACTTTTCTCTCTGCTCTGAAAGCATTTGGCTTAGGTTCACTTAATTCACTCCTGGATGTTTGTCCTTAATGGTTTTATTTTTCCTCTCAATTTTTCAAGTTACCTTGGGGGGAAAAAAAATCTATGCTACTTGTGTTCTTGTTTTATAAACCAAAACAACCCTCCTTATGACTGATAAGTCTAATAATGTTAATAATATCCTCATATCAGTGTCTCAAGTATGAATAATTTTAGAAATAAGTATGAATTAAAATAAAGGTAATAATTTCTACAGATATCTAACATTATATTAAATACGTGTGTACACAAAAGTTAAATTTTTTATGCATATAGCTTTTTTAGGTAGCTCAAAAATCAAAACAACTATAAAACCAGTGATTCAAATTAATAGCATTAATGTGGACAGATGATGTGTTTCTGAAACTACCACTTGCAATGTAAAAATGGTACTGACTCTGATGCAAGATTTTTTTTAATTTGGCATCACTCTACGAAATGACTCAGTTCTTTAGTCACTTGTTTTATGATCATTTGAAAAGAACTTTCTTTTTTATAGCACACTGAGGATGCTTGGCTTTCATTAGTCACAACCACATCATTTTTCTCTTAAGTCTACCAGCAAGTTGGTACTAGGGCAATTATAAAAACAAATGTGGGCATTAAAATTACTTGATGATACTGTTCTAATTATCACCTTATAACAGGGAAGATCTAGAATATGCTATTATTATTATTTTAGGTCATCATTAAAATGAACAGAGGTCTTCTGTGACTTACAATGGGGTTATATTCTGATAACCCTATTGTAAGTGGAAAATATTGTCCATAAAATATTGTCCATATTTTAACATGCTCATAACATTTACATTAGCTTACAGTTGGACAAAATCATCTAACACAGCCTATTTTATAAGAAAGTGTTGAGTATCTCATGGAATTTATTGGATACTGTACTAAAAGTTGAAAAACAGAATGGCTGTATGGGTACAGAAGGTCCTCAACTATGATGATTTGACTTAATGATTTTTTTGACTTTACAATGGTGTGAAAGCAGTATACATTCAGTAGAGACCATACTTAAAATTCTGAATTTTGATCTTTTCCTGGGTTAGCACTGTGTAATATAATGTTCTTCTCATGATGCTGGGCATGGGCAGCAAGCTGTAGTAGCATTCAGTCAGCCAGGTAATCCTGAGGATAGACAACTAATACATTTAGAGTCATTCTGAAAATAAATAAATAAATAAATAAATAAATAAATAAATAAATAAATAAATAAATAAATAAAGTCATTCTGTACCCATATATCCGTTCTGTTTCAGTATTCATTAAATTAAAGGAGATACGAGATATTCAACACTTTATTATAAAGTAGGCTCTGTGTTAGATGATTTTGCCCAACTGTAGGCAAAACTGTAGGCCAACTGTAGAACACTCTAAGTGTTCTGAGCATGTTTAAGGTAGGGCTAAGCTATGTTATTTGGCAGATTAAGTGCATTAAATGCAGTTTCAACTTAGGGTACTTCACCATGATGGGTTTATGGGTTTATGAGGATATAACCCCATCACAAGTAGAGGAAGTTTTAAGTGTATAGTTTGTTTACCCTAATGATCCCATGGCTGACTGGGAACTACCGCTCCCTGCCCCTGCCCAGCATCAGAAGAATATCATCGTATCACACAGTGAAAAACTTTGCATATCCTTTCATACCACTGTAAGGTCAAGAAATTGAAAGTTGAACCATGTTAAATCTGGGACCACCTTTATTCAATTTTAAATGAAACTGAGCCAAGCAGAAATCCTTGGAAAATAATTGCTCAGACATTCCCTTTAGAATCTTCACATCCATATACTTGGTTATCGTGTACTATTTTGATTAATCTCTAGCATTCAGCAAAACTTTTTGTATAGTTGACCATTGAACAGCATGGGTGTGAACTACTGTAGGTCCACATACACACAGATTTTTGTCTAGAAAACAGTAGTACTGTAAATATTTTCTCTTACAATTTTAAATAACATCTTTTCTCTAGCTTACCTTATTGTAAGAATACAGTATGTAATACATGTAACATACAAAATATGTTTTAAAAAACTATGTCATTGGTAAGGCTTCTGGTCAGCAGTAGGCTATTAGTTTTGGGGGAATCAAAAATTATATATATATATATATATATATATATATATATGGATTTTGGACTGTGCAGATGCGGGGTGCAAAATCCCATATTGTTCAGGGGCTAAATGTATTTGCTTTTCAAGTTTTCCACACTGTTTAATGTGGAAGTTCATTATTATAAAAATACATTTGTTCCCTATACTTTTGTTTTTTATACTCGTGTTGAAAAAAATATATATCTTGTTCAAATAGTAAAACTAGAAGTTGTAGACCTGAGCTCTTTTAATTAACTTTTCAAACCCCAGAGGTATCAAAATTAAATGCCTACCTTTTTTCCTTTAAAAAGTTAGCATTAACTTGTACTCCTGCCTTGAAGAGTAAATTCACAAATTAATATAAAATTCATTCCCTAGGGCCCCACAGATAGAACAAAGGTTCAGAGGTCTCTTTTTGTTTTTGTTTTGCCAGAAAGTGAGTGAAATACTTCAACTTTGCCTTAAGATGAGATAGTTCAGGGATGCCTGGGTGGTTGTTAGTTAAGTGTCTGCCTTCAGCTCAGGTCATGATCCCAGGTCCTGGGATCCAGCCTCAGATCAGCCTCCCTGCTCAGCGTGGAGTCTGCTCCTTCGTCTCCTGCTGCCCCTCCTCCCATTCATGCTGTCTGGCTCTCTCAAGTAAATAAAATCTTTATTTAAAAAAAAAAAAAAAAGATAGTTCAAAGTATATTGTTAGAAATTGAGCTTGTAAAGGGTAAAATGTTGACCAGATACTGACCTAAAAAAAGAAATTAGAGCTTCTTAAAATGTCCTGAGTTGATATTGTTGTATATAAGAGGGGTAGCATGTATTAACACAGTTTGCTTGGACAGTAGTTGTGGCAGTACTTACCAAGTGGGAGGGTTAAAAGACATAACATGTAAAAAACTTAGCAAACTATTAGGCAATACTCATTTACTAACATGTTGGGTAAATGATAAAATTCACAGAAAATGTAGGTAGGATTTTAACTTTCCAAACAAAAGTGAAGGAGTAGACCATAAAAGATTTTTAGGGGCACTTGGGTGGCTCACTCGGTTAACTGTCTGACTCTTGGTTTCAACTCAGGTCATGATCTCAGGTCATGAGATCAAGCTCCATGCTGGGCTCTGCATTGAACATGGAGCCTGCTTGAAATTCTGTCTCTCCCTTTCCCTTTGACCCTCCTCTCTCTCTCTCAAAATAAAAATAAAAAAAGATTTTTAGACTAGACTTGCTGAAAATTTAAAAACTTCTATACATCCCCAAACATAATAATCAAGTACAAAAGAAAACAAGCTGAAGGAGAAATGATATGATGTTAATATTCTTTTTTTTTTTTTTTTAAGATTCTATTTTATTCATGAGAGATACAGAGAGAGAGGCAGAGACACAGGCAGAGGGAGAAGCAGGCTCCATGCAGGAAGCCCGACGTGGAACTCTATCCCAGGTCTCCGGGATCATGCCCTGGACTGAAGGTGGCGCTAAACCGCTGAGCCACCCGGGTTGCCCTAATGTTAATATTCTTAATGTATATAGTGCTGTTACAAAAGGCCTCACAAGGAAAAATGCTCCCTCTCCCTCTGCAAAAGTACAAGTAGGCTGATTTTTGAAAAAAAAATACAGCCACCAGTCATTTGGAAATTGTTGGGCCTTGTTAATAATCAAATAAATATAAATTTAAGATATAAAAATATTTTATTTAGCTCTTTTTTAGATTTATTTTAATATATTCTCTTTTTTTAAGGTTGGAATACACACCAAGGCTTGGTTTATTGCTGGAATCTTTTTGCTGTTGACTATACCTATATCTCTCTGGGTGATATTACAACATTTAGTACATTATACACAACCAGAACTACAGAAACCAATAATAAGGTAAATCTTAATATATTTTAATTCTTCCAGTGTTATGTTCACTTATTTCATAAATATGATTTAAAATGTTTTTAATTTATGCTTTGCTTTCTAAATAGGATTCTTTGGATGGTACCCATATACAGTTTAGATAGTGTAAGTATGTTTCATTTTATCTCATTAACTAAGAACTTCCATGGTGATACAACTATATTTACAGAGTGCTTAAAGTAATGAAAGTTTATTATTTGGCAATAAGGAGTCAGATTAATACGAAAAGTGAAAAGATTCACTTATTTTTAATGTTAATAAAAAAGACAACATATGACAATAGAAAAGACAGATGTTTTAAATTTTAAAAAACCTGTAGCTGTTTTCTTTGCTTAATCTTTTAAAATTTCTGATTACTAGTTCTTAGTTCTTTAAAGAATGTAATATTTAAAATTACATTATCATCCTTTTTATTTATTAAATATTTGGAGGGAATAAAGCCTTCCCCGGTGGATTCTAACATGCACTTATCACAAATGACTGCTTTAATTTGATTAAATATAATGGAAATGTCTTTAATTGCATTTCCTATGATCCTCTCAAGAAAAATTCCAGATTATATTTAAAAACCCAATAACAAAATAATTTAGCTTCTTTCTTCATATTCAGTATTTACCCCTAACACAAATTTTTATCAGTGTGCAAATCATTTATTGATTTTAAAAATTCATTTCACAGATTGTCTGGTAGCTCTCATAAATTTTAGAAAGTTTGATATAAATGTGACATCTCAAGTTTAAAAATTAGCATTGTGATTTCCATGATTTGGAATGGCAATTCATTTTATCTTAGCTGCAACTATTTTTAACATCTGTTTTTTCATAGTGGATAGCTTTGAAATATCCCAGCATTGCAATATATGTGGATACCTGCAGAGAATGTTATGAAGCTTATGTCATTTACAACTTCATGGGATTCCTTACCAATTATCTAACTAACCGGTATCCAAATCTGGTATTAATCCTTGAAGCCAAAGATCAGCAGAAACATTTCCCTCCTTTGTGTTGCTGTCCACCATGGACTATGGGAGAGTAAGTATGTTTGGTTTTAATCTTACGTACTTCAACAGAATTTTTAAGCATTAGTTCTCTGCAAAGTAGTGTATTAAGTACTATGAGCAGGACAAAGTTTAAGAAGAGTTCCTACCCTCAAATAGTTCCTAGTCAAGTTTGAAGAGTAAGAAAACACATTTTTATAATCCACACATACAGATTACTCTCTTAGACATTATTCATCCTAAATAGAAAACTTAAACGTTGCAAGGAAAAAAAATTTTAGAAATCATTTAATCAACATACTTTTACTATTTAGACCCAGGATCTACAGAGATTAACTTACTCAAGATTATATAGCTAGTTAATGACAAAATCAGGTGTAAGGCCCAGGGAGAAGACAGTCTAGGTGGAGAAATAGTATATGATATAAAGTAGGAGAAACAGTGTTTATTCTATATATAATGGGTTGTTGGCCTTATTATACATCCATAGAGGACAGTAAAGGAAAATAAAGCCTGAAAAGTTCAGTTGAAGCTAAGATTGCATTTTTTTTTTTAAATTTTTAATAGAGAGCAGAGCATGTGTGAACATGAACAGGAGGGAGGGGTAGAGGGAGAAGGAGAAGCAGGGAGAGCAGGGAGCCTGATGCAGGGCTCTATCCCAGGACCCTGGGATCATGACCTGAGCCAAAGACAGACACTAAGCTGATTGAACCATCCGTAAGATTGCATTTTTTTATATGAATGAACCACTGGATATTTTTCAGCAAGGAAACATTTGAAGATACCTTTTTAGAAAGATTAATTTTGTAATACTATACAGAAAGCATTAGAGCAAGATTCCAGGATGGGGAGATAAATTAGGTTATTATACTAGTCCATGTGTGAAAGAAGCTGAAAAGGAGGGATGAAATTGGGACAGAAAGGAAAGAGACTGCAACTGAAGAACTGGTAGGACTTAATCACTGATAACGGGAAATAAGATGAAAGTTGCAAGTCAAGGTAACTGGAATGGTTTAATCAGTGTAGATCTATAACCTAGGGATACCTATATTGCCTGCCATGCAATATGGAAGCATTTGTAGAACATTGGGACTAATTATGTCTCTAGTTTACACACTTGGCAATGACAAGGAACTACATAGCTATTTTAAATAAGCTCTTAATGTGTTTATAACACACTTGATAGGTATTGAGCACCTAGTGTGTGCCAGTATATGGATATATCCTAGTGCGTGTAACAGAACTCCAGAAACCTACATTTTGGTTTGGAGATTTAGAATTAAATGAACACACAAATATAGAGTTACTTGGATCAGGAAATGCTATGAGGGAAAAGGAACAGGAAACTATGAAAGAGGTTAGTAAGGAAAACTATTTTAAGTTGGAGGTGGTGGAGAGATACTGTGCTCAGCAATGAGTAAATACAACATGGATAGAGATTTGTAGCTAATGAGCAGATTGTGGTGGTCACAGAATGAAAAATTACTCAGAAGAGACATCGAGTGTAGGGAGATTCTCTCTAAACTGGCATAATAGAATTCTTGCTAAGGGCAGGCCAGGCACCTTCACATCAAGAGTGGGGGATGAGGAGCTTATCAAATATCAGGGGTAGGAGGATGACTTCGCAGTATTCCTTTCTCAGTCTGACTTAGGCCAAGGACAAGGCCTAAGAATGATGCCTAGTTGAAAAGACAGCTCAGAGGAGTCCTGTTTAAAGTTTGGTCAGGGGGAGAGAGTTGTCAAATGAGAAGCCATTATAGAATGTTGACTAGAGGACCAGTGCCCAATTTCATTTTCAGAAATTACTGTGCTTTTTGTAGACTGAATTGCAAATGGGCAAGGATAGAAGAGATTGCAGTGGTCCAGTAAATATGATGATGATGGCTTGGCATTGATCAGGATTCTTCTAAAATTACAGAACCTAAAATGAGCCTCTAGTTATATCTTCAGAATGGCTCATCACAATTAGCTAGTGGTCCACTAAAACCCCAAACCTTTTTCAAACAATACCACTGGTAAAATCCTCCTATTCTATGCTTGTGCAATTTTTTTGTTCCTAACTACACAATTACATTTATTCTTGTTAAATCTCTTTGTGTTGGTTTTATTTTTTCCTGCGACTTGAATTCTGACAGCTGCTGCCTAAATAATGTCAACAGTGCATCCATAGCTATAGAGATATTGTTACCGAAGTCATGCAGTTTGGAACTGTGACTTTAGTAATAATAAAATGTCTCCTGTGTATTAATACATTGTAGATTACTAGTCTCTCTCTAGTAGGTAACTGGTGTTTACAAATCTGATAATTAATCTGGCTTCTGCTGTTTAGGATAATCCAGTACAGTGCTTTGGTTATAAGATGTAAATACCATGGCAAGTTTGTAGCTGTTAATTGATAAAAACTGGTTTTTATCCTTTGATTGCAGTAACATAAACAGTTTTCTTTTAATGAACCTTAAATTTTTTTTTTTTTGAACCTTAAATTTTTGTATGTTGACGAGAGGAAGGGACACTCTTTACCTACTGATTTAGTACACCGGTGAAACAATGGTTTCCATGAAATGGTACTCATCTGTTTTACATATTCCTTCCCTTCCTCTTGTTTCTAAATTTCAGGTTACCACCTACCAAGTTGAATTTGACAGTTTGAAAAAAATTGCTCTAGGGTTTATACCTTTATGTAGTAGCATGTAGTAGCGTCTTTAGGTTTTGTTCAGCTTTTTTAGTGGTAAATTGTTTTCTGAAGTGGCAATACCATATTTCTCTCCTACCAACAGTATAAAACACTTCTAATTGCAGGGGATCCCTGGGTAGCTCAGCGGTTTAGCGCCTGCCTTTGGCCCAAGGCGCAATCCTGGAGTCCCAGGATCAAGTGCCGCATCGGGCTCCCAGCATGGAGCCTGCTTCTCCCTCTGCCTGTGTCTCTGCCTCTCTCTCTCTCTCTCTCGAATAAATAAATAAAATCTTAAAAAAAAAAAAAAAACACTTCTAATTGAACCACATCCTCACTTACATTTGGAATTACCCAGACTTCTTTATATTTGCCTGTCAAGAGGGTGTAAAGTGGTGTCTCACTGTGGTCTTAATTTGGATTTCCCTGATTAATAGTGAGGTTGAGTAACTGTATATGTTTATTAACTATTTGTGTTTACTTTACCTAGAAATGCTTGTTTCTGTTTATTTTTTAATGGGTTGTCTGTCCTAGCTTTATCAGGAATCTTTATATATTTAGGTACTAATTCTTTATTTAGTGTGTATTGAAAGTATCTTTTTCAGGTTTTGGCATGCTTTGCCAGCTTTATTTAATATTTCCATTATTTTGAAAATGGAAGTTTTGAGTTTTAATTTTAAATATAGTTGAATTTATCTTATTTTAGTCAGTACTTACTGTGTCTTGTTCAAAAATTATTCCAGTTAGAGGATTATAGAAACATTGTCTTGTGCTTTTCTTCTGAACATTTCAAAAATTTTCCCATTAAGACTTATAAACACTTGATGTTTTGTGTATTTATTGTGTGAGGTAGGAAAGCAGTTTCATTTTATTCCATTAATTGTCCTCACTGATATTGCTATCTCTGTCATATCTCAAGTTTCAACACATATGGTCTCTTTGTGGCTTTTTGTTTTGGGTTTTTGTTTTGTTTTATTGGTTAACTTTTCTATTCCTGGACCAATTCCATACATTAACCACTACAAGTTATTAATAAGCCTTAAAATGAGGGGCATGTACCCTGACCTTATTCTCTTGGCTATTTTTGGGTCTTGGCTCTTACATACAAACTTCAGAAACAGTTTGTCAGGTTGCTTGAAAAACCTATTGGTGTTTTTTCACTGTAATTGAATTCAATCTTTAGTTTATTGACATCTTTATGATTTTTTGAGTCTTACCCATGAATGTGATCTGGCTTTCTACTTATTTAGCTCTTCATTTACCTTTCAGTAAAGTACATTTTTCTTATACTTTGTACATCTTTTTGACTTTGTAAATGTGTTGTTTTATTGCTATTATAAATGGCATCTATCTTAAAAATCATTTTAATTGCTTCCAGTATGTAGAAAGGCCATTGGTTTTGGCATATTGATCTCATATCCAAAAATCCTGTTACATTTTCTTAGTCTGTAGATCTTTTGTTGGTGAAGATAGTCCTCTTTAAGTAAAGGACTACTTTTCTCTCCAGTCGATACATTTCTCTTTCTTCTCACTGTGCTGGTTAGTATCTCTAGATATTCTTCCATTATTCTTGATTTTAAAGGGAATTCTTATAAAATTAATTGAATTTTGTATCTAAAGATGTTTTGTAGGCATCCTTTGTCAGGTTAAATGAGCTCTCTCTAATCCTAGCTTGTTTGATTTTTAAGAATCATGAATAAATGATTAAATTTCATCAAATGCTTTTTCTGTATCTCTTGAGATGGTTGAGTTTTGCCTTTAACCTGTTAATTAGTGAATTAAATTAATAGCTTTTCTAATGTTAAAGCCCTCTTGCATTTTGAGGATAAATTCAAAATGATTAAGATATATTATCTGCTTTTCTACATCACAGGTTTGGTTTGCTAATATTTTGTTTAGAATTTTTACATCTATGTTCTTGAGTTAGACTATAATTTTCCTTTTTTATATCATTCTTGTCTGATTTTCATATCCAGGTTATACTGCCTGAATAGGCATTATTGCTTTTTATAATATGTATCACAGGAAGAGATTGTAGCTTGAAAGATTAGACCTAGACTTTGTGGGAGGACAGGTATAGAACTAGTTAGGTTTCCTGTTGTTTCCAAAATATTTTTTATTTTATTTTTTTTAAAACATCTTTTTATTTTTTTATTTATTTTTTTAATTTTTATTTATTTATGATAGTCACACACAGAGAGAGAGAGAGGCAGAGACACAGGCAGAGGGAGAAGCAGGCTCCATGCACCAGGAGCCCGATGTGGGATTCGATCCCGTGTCTCTAGGATCGCCCCCTGGGCCAAAGGCAGGCGCCAAACCGCTGCGCCACCCAGGGATCCCCATAATCTTTTTTTAAATATAATTTTTAGGTATTAGAATAAAGTTTTAAAATGTATAGGCAGGGGCACCTGGATGGCTCAAGTCAGTTAAGCATCCTACTCTTGATTTCAGCTCAGGTCATGATCTCAGGGTCATGAGATGGATGGATCCATGAGATGGATCCCGAGTTGGGTTCCACTCTCAGGAGGGAATTCTCTCTCCCTCTCCCTCTGGCCAACCCCCTTTTTCTCTTCCCCCACACATTCTCTCTCTCAAATAAATGTTTATGGGCATGCATTTCTATTTTCTCAGCTCTTTTTTTTTTAAAAAGATTTTATTTATTCATGAGAGAGAGAGAGGCAGAGACACAGGCAGAGGGAGAAGCAGGCTCCATGCAGGGAACCCAACATCTCGATCCTGGGTCTCCAGGATCAGGCCCTGGGCCTAACGAAGGCGACGCTAAACCACTGAGCCACTCGGGCTGCCCTTCTCAGCTCTTTTGAATCTGTTATGAATACTTTTCCATTTCTAGTGCTATTAGCATCTTTATTTTTCCCTTTAACAATCTTGCCAAAAGTTTGCCTATTCTTACTAGACTTTTCAAGGACTGTTTGTGCTTTGTTGATTCTGTCTGTAATATATTGGTCTTTCTCTATCATTGATTTCTGCTGTTTTTACTTCCTTTCTCTCATTTCTTTTGGTTTACTATCTTTTCCTAACATGTTAGAGTCTTAGCTCATTAATTTACACAACCTTTTTTTTTCTGAAGATTTTATTTTTAAGTAATCTTTACACCCAACATGGAGCTCAAACCCCAAGATCACTTGAGTCACATGCTCTTCTCCAAGTGAGCTGCCTTCTTTTTACATCTACTGGGGTAGATTTTCATTTTATTTTCATTGCAGTCAGAGAATATACTCCCTCTGAGACAGTCTTTGAAATTGGTTAAGATTTGTTTCATGCCCTTTTTTAGCTGATGGGTTTTTTTTTTTTAATTTTTTTTTTGTTTATGATAGTCACAGAGAGATAAAGAGAGAGAGGCAGAGACACAGGCAGAGGGAGAAGCAGGTTCCATGCACCGGGAGCCTGACGTGGGATTCGATCCAGGGTCTCCAGGATCGCGCCCTGGGCCAAAGGCAAGCGCCAAACCGCTGCGCCACCCAGGGATCCCAGCTGATCAGTTTTTATAAAGGTTTCCTGTGCACTACAAGACATTGTATATTCTGTATCAGTGAGTGTCTGTGCTCATTTAATGTCCATGTGGCTATTTATGTTATTCAACTTTTCTGTATTTCTATTGATTTTGGCTAGTTGTACTGTCAGTTACTGAGAGAGAGTCTGCCACTATTTGTCACTTTCTTCCTGTACTTTTGTCAGTTTTTGTTTTATATATTTTGATGCTGCTTCTATTCCAAATAATCTTGTCTTAGGCGCCTGAGAGGCTCAGTCAGTTAAGTGTCCAACTCTTGATTTCAGCTGGGGTTATGATCTTAGGGTCATGAGATTAAGCCCTGAGTCAGGCTCTGCACTGGGCATGGAGTCTGCTTAAGATTCTCTCCCTCTTCCTCTGCCCCTCCTCTTGCCTTCCCCCATTTGTACACATGTTCTCTAATAAAAAAGTTTTTTTTTTTCTTAAAGTTATTTTGTCTGGTATTAACAGGGATCCCATCTTTCCTTTGTTTAGTATTTTCCTAGCATATCTTTCTCCACCTTTGACCTTCATCCTTTCCATTTCCTTATGTTTTAGATGTATCACTTTTTTTACTTTTAATGTTCTTTGCTTTCTAATCCAACAATCCATCCCTTAAATTAGGCAATTTATACTTAGTGATTATTTATATATTCATTTAAAATTTCACCATCTGTTTTCTTTTTGTCTCACTGTCTTCTATGCTTTTATCATTGATTCCATTTTTTAAGTAAGCCTTTTAGAATAATTTTAAATTTACAGAAAAGAAGTCTTTTGTAGATTTAACTGCAAGTACTAACAGTTTACTTGCTCTGCACTCCTTGCATCTCTGAAATGATCCTGTGAGATCATTTCCTTTCTAAAGTATGGCCCTTAAAAGTTCCCTTTAGTGTGAATATATCAGTGGCAAATTTTCTCAGATATACTTATCCAAAGTTATCTTTATTTTGCTCTCATTCTTGAAAGATAGTTAACTGGATATAATTCTATGTTGACAGGAATTTTCTCCAAGTATTTGGAAGATTTTATTCTACCTAATTCTGGCTCTATTACTGTTAAGCCTCTCCTGTCAGTCTAATTGTTATTCCATAATAGATGATCTAACTGCATTGAAGACCCTATCTTTGATGTTTTGCCTATTCACCATGAAGTATTTAGGTTGTTTTGTTTCAGTTTTAGTCCTGCTTAATCTACAGGGTGCCTCAATCTGTAGATTCATACCTTTCATCAGTTCTGAAAACTCTGTAGGCATAACCTCTTCTGATTTTGCCTTTCTTCCACTCTGTCTTCTATAACTGTGAACATATGTTTGACTGTCTGATTCTATTCAGTTCTTTGCAACTCTCTTTTCACATTTGTCTTATCGTCCAGTTCATTAATTCTCCATAGCTTTCAAGGTTATCTATGGACTATTTAATCCATTTGTAAAGAGTATGGGGCAGGAAGCACAGCAGGTATGGCCAAGGCATTCTCTCAAGAGGTCTTGCAACAATCCCAAGTGCACCCTTTAGGTCTTCATAGGGAGCACACTTAGCTATAAGTGGGAGTGAACCACCTCACCACAGAGAAAGCTCTCACCACATAAAACCCCAACAGTTTCTTTATTCAGTCCTATTAACATAACACTTCAAGACTTTTATGCCAGATTCTCAATCTTCTCAGTCTAGATGTAATTTTTTTAATTTATGTATTCATTTGAGAGAGAGCATATGCTTTCAAACAGGAGAAGGAGAAAAGGATGAGGGAGCAAGAGAATCTTAAGCAGGATCCCCACTGAGCACAGAGCCCAAGTTGGGGCTCTATCCCAGGGACCCAGAGATCATGACCTGAGCCAAAATCAAGAGTCAGCTGCTTAACCGACTAAGCCACTGATATGCCCTAGATGTATTTTTTAAATTAGGGGGCTCAAAATACGTAACATTGATAATCAGTTCTCCTGATAGTAGTGCTAAATAAAGCACCTGCCATCAGAGCAACTTGGTCTTTTAAGGAGGCTTCGACGTGGCTGTCAGGTAGAGAGCCTTTCTTGTTTGGGGACTTTTTGTTTTGTTTTTGTTACTCCTTATGAATTTTCCCCTATCTTGAATAAGCCCAGCAATGAAATAAAAATTGTTTATCTTTGTCCTTTCATAATAACTAATCAGTGATACTCTCTGGAATGGTATTTACATTCTAAACTTAAACTGAACCTTAAATGTAAATCACACTTTCTGAATATGCTTTCAACATAGACATGCACACAGTTCATTTGTTACTGGGTCTTTCTTCCAGAAACACAAGGACACACTTATTCTTTCTGTGCTGCAGTATTCAGGAATTTGAGACTGAACACAGAAAGGGAGATCTTTCAGAAGATGTAACTGTCAAGTAATTAAAGAAACAGCATTTAAACAGTGTTTGCTACCATCCACATTCTTCCTCAACTGCCATTTAGAATGACTAAATTAAAAGAATAAAATATAAACATGCCATCATTTGTCAAAGTGACTTTAATTTGGGGGGGCATTGGAGAAAATCTAAAATCTGATCCTATTTAAATAAGTAATTGAAATGCTAAGTTGTTTTTTTTTTCCTTTGGCAGAGTATTGCTGTTTAGGTGCAAACTGGGTGTACTGCAGTATACAGTGGTCAGACCATTCACCACCATTGTTGCTTTGTAAGTACAAAGACTTTATATTATCACTTTTTAAAAATACTCATGTTCTTCAGTGAGAACTGAATAGACAAAGAGTATTAATTCACTTTATGATATATATCTAGTCTGTTATAAAAAACATAGTATATAGAAACCCTACTACATTAAAATAAATAAGGTGACCATTTATAAGCAAACAGCACCACAGAATTCTTCTAAATATTCTCTACAGCTTTCTGGAAAACATTTTAAAAATTATGTTTTCAAATAATAATGTAAACATAGCTTTACAAAAATATCTATTACATGAAGTTAAAGTGTGCTACCTTAATTTCATTATGTGGTTTTATTTTCTATATGGTTAATTTAGAATATGAGTACTATATTCTAAGGATGAGATCCTATTTTTCTTTTGTAAGAATTCAGTCAAGGTTTAGGAGATGAAGTAAAATGGCTTACCATTAAGCTATCTGATAAAACTATGCCCTAAAAATTTAAGAATATCAGATAAAGTGAGTAGATTGCATGTTTTATCTGCTAATAATATTGTGCGTGTTCAGAGGAAGAATAGGAAGAAAGGTGAAAGAAGCATTTAGTTCTTTATTCTACCTTTAAGCTAGCAGTTCTTTAGCAGCATTTACCCCTGAGTTAAAATTAATTTATTTATGAAGGCATGCTTTATTTGTCTGCAGTTTAGCAACTGGGCAATCATATAAGTTAATTTTAGATCTGGGTGTTCATAATAAAATTTACCTCCCAAGACAGTTTGGGGGAAAAATTATAGTTGTATTTATAGACTTGCACTAAATGCCTATAGCAATCAAACTTTGAAAATTAGCATAATTTTTTTAAACATAACTTTTTAATCTGGTAACTACCCTTTCTAGTTAAATGTGTATGTGTCTTATTTTGGATTTAAGATGGAGGAATAAGCATATGGTAGAATTACTAGAAAAATGTTTTAATTTTAAACCACCTCTGTGACCAAAAATCAAGTGATTATCTATAGAGTCTTTTAAATAAACTGACTTCTAAATTTAAGTACTGATGGCAATGCAATGTTTTAAATATTGTTTTAAAATATATTTTGATTTAGTTAATCATAAATCTCATTTTTACCATTTTTTAGAATTTGTGAACTACTTGGTATATATGATGAAGGGAACTTCAGCTTTTCAAATGCTTGGACTTACTTAGTTATAATAAACAACATGTCACAACTGGTAAGTAAATGTTAATTTTAATTGTATCAAATTAGTACCTATGACTAAATTTTCTCAGAAGTTTCTTTGGGAATAAAGTTTGGGTTTAAGTTATTTTTTAATTTTGAAATTTGATTTCTAGGAAAGAACTTAAACTTTTCCATTTTTTAAAAAGATTTTTACCTATTTATTTGAGAGAGGGTGAGCACAAGCAGGTAGAGTGGCAGGCAGAGGGAGAGGGAGAAGCACACTCACTGAGCAGAAAGCCCAACTCAGGGCTTGATCCCAGGACCCCAGGATCATGACCTGAGCCGAAGGCAGACTCTTAACTGACTGAGCCACCCAGGCACCCCTTAAATTTTAGCATGTCTTTAGATAAAATAGATAAATACATAAAATATCTTTGTTAATTATTTGGTGACTTTTACCCTGACCTGTTGATCATGTTTGTTCATTTGGTCCTAGTAGTCATTGCATAGTTGTGTAGGTTGTGTAGATGTCGTAAATAAAAGCACAGTCCTCTCCCAAAGAAAACATAACCTAGGCATACTCAGTAAGAGAAAATGTCTTTTAAAAAAAAGTCTTATTGGTATATGGTAGTCCCAGTTTTGAGTAAAAATGGGAGAATAAAATGCTCATGTATTTGGAATAAAGGAAAATTGCAAATGCCAAGTTAAAAGAAATGATGTTCTAAAAATTGAAATGCTCTAAAAAAAAAACTGATCCTTTCAGCTTAGGAATATGCACTGTATTTAAAATCTTCAGTTTTAATACTATCAACAAGGTAAGGTGCAGTAGCGTGTGTGGTATTAGATGTTTATAATAAAAATTATATGCCTTTGTATTCAAAGCTTTTCTATATGTTCATATTCTTTGGAACCAGTAAATTCCATTTCTGAAATGTATCAAGAAATGGTTGTATTTTTTATTTTAATATCTTTGTGTATACAGGCTGTTATTTGTAATACCAAAGGCTAGAAACCATACAAAGCCCAGTGATAAGGACTGGTTAAATGTACCAAAATTTTAGGCAGTTAATTTAAAATAATCCTTATGGGGCCACCTGGGTGGCACAGCTGGTTAAGCATCTGACTTTTGGTTTTGGCTCAGGGATCATGAGATCCTCAGTGGGATGTCTGCTTAAGATTCTCCCTTTCCCTCTGCCCCTCCCCTTGTGCACATGTGTGCTCTCTCAAATAAATAAAATCTTAAAAAAAAATCCTCATGAAACAGGAAAAAGTAACGCACTTTAAGTGGGGGAAAAGTCAAGCAACAAAATTTATATTTATAGTTGATAACTGTTAAAAAGCACCTTATGTGCTTGGGAATGGACCTAGAAAAATTTGTCTGAAACATTACTCTATGCCAAGTCTCTGCTTTATAACTGTATTATTTATTACTGTATTTACTTATTCTTATTAAAGAAGTTTAACTATTAATCTTGTTTCTAGTTTGCCATGTATTGTCTACTCCTATTTTATAAAGTACTGAAGGAAGAACTGAGTCCAATCCAACCTGTTGGCAAATTTCTTTGTGTAAAACTGGTGGTTTTTGTTTCTTTTTGGTAAGTGTTGCTTTCTCTTAAATATAAATTTTCTCATTTTCTACAGAACAATAAAAACAGTAGATTAGGAAGGATTTTCAAAGAAGTCTTAATATAGAAGATGGATTAAAATGTCTCGACTTAAAGTTCATCTTCTTAGCCCTTTTTGATTTTTCATAATGAAATAATCAGATGGTCACCATAACATATGTAAGAAGAAAATAATTTGAGACAACCTAACTGTCTCAACATTAGAGGAATCATTAAAATATGTGATGGTCCTTTCATATAAGAGGATAGTTTGTAGTTTGGAAGATAAATATAATGTAGAATATTTAATGTGATGTAATGTTCATTTACTTGGTACAATATATTTTTTAAAGCAGAAAGCAAAACTTTACATGGTCCCAATTTAGTAAAAGGGTGGGTGATAGATAGGGCACTAGAAAAAAAATATCACGGGACTCATGGGTGGCTCAGCGGTTTAGCGCTGCCTTCGGCCCGGGGCCTGATCCTGGAGACCCAGGATCGGGTCCCGCATGGGGCTCCCTGCATGGAGCCTGCTTCTCCCTCTGCCTCTGTTTCTGCCTCTCTCTCTCTCTCTGTCTCTTATGAATAAAAATCTTTAAAATATATATGTATATATATACCAAATTTAACAGTATACAAATACAAAAAGGGGAAAAAGAATAATCCTTGAATTCTTACCACCCAAAAAGAATGATTAACATTGTGGTGTAGATAATGCAACGTATAAAATGCCACAGAAAGAGTTTCATACCATAAAAACTTGGTGGAACTCAATAGTGCAATTCATTATGTTGTGGATATAGTTCTTTGTCAGTAAAGTGAGGATATAGTTTCCTTGTCATTTAAGGGTTTATTTTGTTTTTACTAAGTATTCTGTTCGGTGGATCTAACTTTTTAACTACTCTATTGACATTTAGGTCATTCCTAATTTTTTCATCATTCCAAGCAATACAGAAATTAAATTCTTGTAAACAGAACTATTAACATTTGTCTCATTATTAGCTAGTTCAATTTAACCTAGGATCGTATCTGTAGATGTGGTTGAAATGTTCAGTATGACTCCATCTTGCAAATTCATTGCCTTCTGAGTTTGTCTCTAGTTCCAGCACTTCAAACAAGACTGGTTTCAAAATATGTTTAAAAATAATCTGAATAGGGAAACCAGGTGACTCAGCGATTGAGCATCTGCCTTGGGCTCAGGGCATGATCCCCAGATCTGGGGATCAAGTCCCACAACAGGCTCCCCATGAGGAGCCTGCTTCTCCCTCTGCCTGTGTCTCTGCCTCTTTCTGTCTCTCTCATGAATAAATAAAATCTTTTTAAAAAATCTGAATAGTTACATGTATAAATAACATTTAAGTGTCCTTTATTTTAAATACTTATCTCTCAAGGTTGTAGGCATTGTCTATGTATAGGAAGAATTTAAAATTTAATTACTTGTATATATACTTCCAAAACAAAGACAAATAAACCAATTATTGAAATTCCATGTGCTTCTAAGTATGCATAATCACAATTCCTATGATGAAACTGTATAAGAATAAATTTGTAAAGCATATATATATTTAATATAAATATATGATATCTTCAGGAACATGCTATGAAGACAGGGTGGTGGTGGTGGTGGTGGTGGTTTTCCACAAGTTGTGCTGGGGTTTTAACTTTTTTAAATGGCATACTGTTAAAACAACTGCTCATTTTATGCTTGATATAGATATGGCGTTTACCTTTTCCTAACATATAGGCAAGCAGTAGTTATTGCTTTGTTGGTAAAAGTTGGCGTTATTTCTGAAAAGCATACATGGGAATGGCAAACTGTAGAAGCTGTGGCTACAGGACTCCAGGTTAGTGCTATCCATGAATTTAATAAAACTTTACTGTTTTGCCCATTTTTACATATTGTCTCCTAAACCTGACAACATGAGGCTGTGGGGGTATTACCTTTACTTTACAGATGAAGCAATGGAGGAACCCTAGAGAGACTAGCATCATCACTAATTTGTGGTAGAGCCAGGAATAGAACCTAGATTTTGTTTTTCCTAGTCAATTTCTCTGCATTTTTCCTTAGTCCTTGGGCAGTGGATTGAGGATGCATTGTACTTTGCTAAAACATACTTGGTTGAGGGTAGCATAAGATAGATTTAAATTTTTGCCATTTTGTCCTTTTAAGAAGTCAAAAATAGCTTGGAAAAATGAAAAAATGAGTGTAATCTTCTGGGGGGAAAACAGCTGATTTCAGTATTTCAGTTGATATGGAAATACTTTTTGAAAAGAGAAAGCGCTTTCCTTTATCTACAAAACTAGATTTAAGCTAAAAGATGGCTGCTATTTTTTTTTTCGTAGGACTTTATCATCTGTATTGAGATGTTCCTTGCTGCTATTGCTCATCACTACACTTTCTCATATAAACCATATGTCCAAGAAGCAGAAGAGGGTTCATGCTTTGATTCCTTTCTTGCCATGTGGGATGTTTCAGATATTAGGGATGATATTTCTGAACAAGTAAGGCATGTTGGTAAGTACCAGCCATTCCATTCATCCAAATAGATTATTGTACTTTTCTTACTAGAGCAATTTAGTAGCTATTTGAGAGATGAAAAAGCTTTGTTTAAAGCAGTACCAGTAAGGCTCTTCAAATCAGGAGACAGGAGGGGAACTTATTTTAGCATGGTAAGTTTATAGTGGTAAAAATAACTTAACTTTTGGCTAACCTGGAAACCTTTCTATTACTTTTGAAAAGGAAGGACAGTCATGGGACATCCTAGGAAAAAGTTTTTTCCTGAAGATCAAGATCAAAATGAACATACAAGCTTGTTATCCTCGTCATCACAAGATGCAGTTTCTGTTGCCTCTTCTGTACCACCTTCACCCATGGGTCACTACCAAGGGTTTGGACACACTGTGACTCCCCAGACTACACCTACTACAGCTAATATAGCTGATGAAATATGTAATGACACTACAGAAGAGAAAAAAGAACTTATAGACAAATCCGTGGCCTCCTGAACAGTGTGCAAAAGCAAACTGCTCCTCCTACCATGTTATTTCATTACCTGGTATCACATTGCTCAGGATTTTGTCCTTGGGACAAACCATAAATGATGGAAAATTTCAACACTAAGAAGGTGAAAGCCAGGTACAACTACTGGATTTATATAACTGAGTTTTGTAAATCACAAATAATCAGTCTAAATATCCTAGACTTAGACTTGATTTCTTAACATTAGAGTATCACATACTCAAATGGTAGAAAATGACTCTACTAAATGTTCCTAACATTACATTGCTTTATCAAGAGGATGGACATTAAAAAAAAAAAAAAAATCAATGCTTCCTACCACTGATGCATGAATATAATGCTCTGGATTTAGCAGAAAGTGTAATTTGGAAATATGAATTAGTGGAACTTAATCATGTGCCATATATGCCTACCTAACAATTATTTCTCTATTTCTCAACTGGATGTCTTTCAATAAATAAGAATTTATCATTTATTTTCTGCAATTTTTTGTTTCTCATTCTTTAAACATAAACTCAATGTTTTTTATAAAAATTCTTGATTAAAAACAGCAAAAAAGAAGTCCAAAAAGATTAAAGTTAAAAATTACATACCTACCATGAAAGATACCTATCTTATATTCCTTTTAGGAGAATTAGCTAGGACCTAATATTAATCTGAAAACAACTACTCTCTAAAGGTCCTATTTGCAATACTGCTAATAGATTAAGAGATTATCCATGACTTTCAGATGAAAAGAATAAACTGGATAGAAGACTGGGAGAATAAGAAACTTGTGATGAGGGGCGCCTGGGTAGCTCAGTGGTTTGTCTGCATTTGGTTCAGGTCATGTTCCGGGGATCCTAGGATTGAGTCCCATATCAGGCTCCCTGCAGGAAGCCTGCTTCTCTCTTTACCTGTGTCTCTGCCTCTCTCTGTGTCTTTCATGAATGAATAAATAAAATCTTAAAAAAAAAAAACTTGTGATGAAAATGGAGTCTACTTTTCTTCAGTGATAATGTCAGCAAACATAAAGGTAGGCTGAGTAGTCTTAATTATTCACTAAACCACAGTCAAAAGATGTGTAGGTGCTATGTGGGAAAAATTTATTACTTAAGATGGAGTTTCTCTAATTGCTAATCACAATCCACTGGGTTATATTTAACATATATTAAAAATCTAAAAAGTAAAAAAATTAGAAAGTGCCATAGTATGCTACAAATAGCAAAAATAAGTATTTTCTCAAAATTTTTGCTTCATATATTTATGCACATACACATTCACATTTATATACTGGTTCACAATATTAGGTGCAAAGTCTTTATTTCTGTCCACTATTATAAATATTTCTATTAGGGATCCCTGGGTGGCTCGGCGGTTTGGCGCCTGCCTTTGGCCCAGGGCGCGATCCTGGAGTCCTGGGATCGAGTCCCACATCGGGCTCCTGGCATGGAGCCTGCTTCTCCCTCTGCCTGTGTCTCTGCCTCTCTCTCTCTCTCTCTCTCTCTCTCTCATAAATAAATAAATAAAATCTTTAAAAAAAGATTTTAAAAAAATAAATATTTCTATTAAAAGGTAAGCTGGGTAGTATAATACTAGAGGCAGAGAATAGGCAATGTAGAGAGAAGGTATCTCTTACTTTGTGGCTTCCAAATAGCACAGAGTATATACAAGACACGACAATCGTCCTTATTAATCTCCCTGTTGCAAGTCTTTAAAAAACTGGACCAATTACTGTATAGTTCTTACTGGGCATCCAGATCAAATCTTTAAAAAATACTGGTTTAGGTGTAGCTCTTTCTTGAATTTACCAGCTTTTTAATATTCTTTGCCAAAGTAGATCAGGAAAAATGCTGCCTCCTACAGATTTAACTTCATCCCTTTTATTCTATTTAGCTTATACCTTAAATTCTTAATTCAAGTTTGCATTCTCAAAACACAAAACCCAACGAGTTTCAGAAGTATAGTGATTATTTAAAAGAAGCAAGCTTGGAATTTACAGGTAACCATAACCCTCAGTCTTCAGTGGAAGCCAAGTGTCTGATGTATCCCAATTATAAGTTTGGATTTAAAAAAAGTCAAGATGCCTGGGATCCCTGGGTGGCGCAGCGGTTTGGCGCCTGCCTTTGGCCCAGGGCACGATCCTGGAGACCCGGGATCGAATCCCACGTCAGGCTCCTGGTGCATGGAGCCTGCTTCTCCCTCTGCCTGTGTCTCTGCCTCTCTCTGACTATCATAAATAAAAAAAAAAAAAAAAAAAGTCAAGATGCCTAAAAATTAAATGTTTTGCTTTACTTACTGACACAGGACAATGAAGATGGGACTCAAATCCCTTATCTTTAAAGCTTTATAAAGTATTCAGCAAAATTGAAACCATTCTAAGTACAACCAAGCAATAAAAACAAACTACTAATTTGAAAAATTAGTGACAGCCTTTTTGAAAAAGGAATTCTGCAGCAATATTTTTGTAATAATGCTCCTCTTAAGGTCTTTTTAAATATACTTTATTAATCAATTAAAAAAAAATATTTGACCATTACAAGGAATTAAATCTTTATACCCCTATCTTATGATTACAAGTCCACTACTAATTCAGACCAGAATTGTGTACTTGCTGCTCTACTTGGACAGTTTTTCATTAGAAAAATGCTTTTCATTGCTTTACTGTGATGCTGACATTGCTTTTGTGGTGCTGGACATTGAGTACTAATTCCTCTCCCATTTCCACCTGGATGGGATTATCTAAAACAACTGCAGCTTGTTTCCAGTGGGAGGCTTCACTTGAAGTATCCAACCTAATCTCGTCATCAAGGTACATATGATACCAAAAGGGAATGGCAGTCACTTGTCCAGATTTACAAATGTGCACCTATGAAAATTAAGAAATCATGAAAATTTCATCAGAGTAAATAGCCTTGGATAAGTAAGTCTGTCTTTTTTTGTCAATTTAAGCTCCAAATTTTATAAAGATTTAATCACCCAATTCAAATTAATACCAATCTTTGTATTCATTAGTATTTGCCCAAGCTCATTTTTGGATATTGTTTAGAAAAAAACAACATTTAAATCGTCAAAGAAAGTGGCCAATACAATTTTGTGTACATAAAGTACCTAGCTTAAGATAATTCTGCATATGATAACAATAATCATTTTGCCTTACCTTTACTTCTCTGTTAGAGGTGTTCAAATATGGAGTCATTAAATCTAGTCTTAAGAGTTCCACTGGCTTGCTTAAAGGTACACAGGACAATGAGGATAGATCCAAAAATACGCGTATAGGTACCTAGAGAAAGTACAAATTTTTCACTTTTACTCCATTCTTTTTATGACCCACTGCCATCAAGTGCTTACTTCCGTACTTGCATCAGTATGATACAATGCTTTTTATATCTAATACCTCAACTTAATTCCCATGTCAACCTTAAGACATAAGGACTTTCATGATTCCAGTTTTATAAGAAGGATGAACAAACGAAGGTTTAGGTAGGTTAAATAATTTGCTATGATTTCAATTATCTACAGATTATTTTCTTGGATGAACGCAGATTAAATTTTTACTTAAGCCTAAAACCTTCAAAAATTTTAAATTCAGGATGTGCTTACGGGTGGGTGAAAGATGAACTAATAAGCAAATAGTACAATATTAATTATTGTACTGTTTTGAGAAAATATGCCAAATTCAACCAAATAATACTGAATTTCATCTGGAAACTGAAGTTCATTTCTAGAGAGCAATGGTTCTCAATTTTGGCTGCAAGTTAAAATCACCTGGAGATCTTTTTGAAAACCCCAACGGCTCAGACCCCACCTCAGATCAATGTGGAGTTGGGAGCCTAGTATCAGTAGTTCTGAAAGTCTGGTCAAGGTTGAGAGCTACCACTATAATGTGTTCCATCAATTTTAGTAGCAATGGAACCTACCTACTAGTTAACTTTTAGGCTTTTCATTTGACATAAAAAGGAAACTTGTTTTTAAAGTGCCCTCTTTCCTTTGAGTAAAATATTAGAGCAACTGCCTGGTGAGACAGTGGACACAGATCTATCAACCTCTCCCTAGGCATCCTTAAAGACATCCAACCTTCCTTGCCATAAAAAGAGCAGTTCCAGGGCACCTGGATGGCTCAGTGGTTGAGCATCTGCCTTTGGCTCAAGTTGTGATCTTAGGGTTTTGGGATCGAGTCCCATGTCAGGCTCTTCGCAGGAAGCCTACTTCTCTCTCTGCCTGTGTCTCTGCCTCTCTCTGTGTCTCTCATGAATAAATAAATAAAAATCTTAAAAGCAAAGAAAACAGCAGTTCCATGACATCTCCAGGACTCATTATGCCCTTTATCCTCATTTATATCAGTTACCAGAAGCCCTAGCTTCCGGTCACCTCTCATTACATGCCCTCTAATCCCTCATAGACTGTCCTCACTCCTGTTTTTCAACCTAGCCTGGCTACTCCTGGCATCTGTGCTAATTCTTCTTACATTTCCCATCTAGAGCTCATTATTTCATGAGTTCTCTAGAGTTCAATTCTTTCTCTATACCCTCAAGGTGATTTCACACAGGCTTTAAATATCATCCACCAAATCTGAGTTCCAAATTTTATCTCTAGCCTCAATCTTTCTCTGAATTCTTATCCAATTGTTCAATGATCCCCCAAACACAAAGACAACCTGATCCTCCTGCTATTTTCCCCATTTCAGTAGATAACTATCCTTCCAGGTGCTCTAGTACCCCACATCCAATCTATCACAGCCTACCTGCAAATGTTATCTACAATCAGAGCACTCTGCACCACCTCCACACTGCTACCATTCACTCAGAGTCTAAGTTGCTACCCCCCTCACCTGAGTTACTGCAATACACCTTTGCCTGCTCTCACAAGTGGTTTACTAACACAGCAACATTGTAACCCTTTCAAAACAAGATACACCAAGTCATTTCTCTGTTCAACATCTTCCAGGTGTTTTCTACTCCTTTCATAGTAAAAGTCTTCATATAACCAAAAGGCTCTACAAGATCCGGTTCCTAGTACTTTCCAGACTGCATCTTTCATCTGACTCTCATGGTTTCTTCCTCCTGTTTCTAAACACTCCAATCATGCTCTTGCCTCAGGCTACTGTACTTTATGATCCTTTCACTTGTTTATGGTTTGCTTCCTTATTTCTTCAGTTCCCTGCTTAAAGATCACTTACCCGTGAGTCCTTTCCTTATTAGTCATCACCTATATGAAATAGTTTATCACATACCCCCAGTTCCCTATATCTTAACCTGCTTTATGTCCACGGACTTCTAACCATCATCATTCTAATCTTTTTACTTATTATCTATCTCATTTGTCAATTTGAATGTAGCTCCATGAGCGCAGGAACTTATCTCTTAGTTTCACAGCTATATTCCCAAAACCTAAAGTAGCATATATATATATATATGTGGTAGACATTTGTTGAATGAATAAATTTCTGTTGTTTTCTGTACAGTAGTCCTGTGATTTCACTTTCCATGGTTTCAGTTACCAGCAGTCAACCAAAGTCAGGAAGCAGAAGATCCTCCTCCTGATAAACTGTCAGGTCAACAGTAACCTAATGCCTATAGCATTCCCTGCACATAATCCCATTATGTAGGCATTTTATCATCTCATGTATTCACAAGAAGGGTGAATATGGTACAATAAGTTATTTTGAAAGAGAGATCATATCCACATAAATTTTATTATAGTACATTATAATTATTCTTAGTTATTATCTCTTACTCTACTTTATTTATAAATTAAGCTTTATCATAGGTATATTTAGATAAAAATAGTACATAGAGATTAGAGATTCAGTACTATTGGTGTTTTTCGCTGAAAGTCTTAGAAAGTATCCCCCATAGATAAGGGAGGATTCTTGTATAGTTTTGCTTTTTTACAACCTCTCATTTTGATTCATTGGTTCATTCAGTTGTCTAACAGATAATTATCATATTAGAAGAGGGGAGACAATATCATCTAAGAAAATGGCTAAGTGGACCAGGAAATGTAAAAGCTACCAGGCAAGTTGCCTCTTAAGATGAATAGTCACAAGCTGAAGTGAGACCAAAGTCTGCATATGCAGCTGTAGGCGTACTGGTGTAGAGAAGGAAGAGAGCTGGATTTAACCATGCTGGGATTTTCCAGGTCCAGTAGAAAGACTGAAGAGAAGGGATATATGAAAAGTATACAGAGGCACCTGGGTGGCTCAGTCAGTTAAACATCTGCCTTGGGCTCAGGTCATGGTCCTGGGGTCCTGGGATGGAGCCCCCACTGGACTCCCTGCTCACTGGAGAGTCTGCTTCTCCCTCTGCCCTGTGCTCCACTACCCCAGCTCATGGTTGCTCTGTTCAATAAATAAATAAAATCTTTTTTAAAAAGAAAAGTATATGGACCATGGAATACAAACTATTCTAAGATTTTATTTATTCATTCATGAGAGACACAGAGAGAGAGGCAGAGACACAGACAGAGGGAGAAGCAGGACTCGATCCCACGACTCCAGGATCATACCCTGAGCCAAAGGCAGACGCTCAACCGCTGAGTCACCCAGGCATACCTGGAATACAAACTATTAAGGAGGGGAGGATAGAAAATGGGAAATACAGTGAAAAGATGGCAGGATCAAAATATCATAAATTCTGATGGAATCAAAGAATTGCTGATGCCAAGATCAAGAGGGAAAAAACTAAAAAGAAGATGGTGGTATTTTTGAACCAAACAACTGAAACTTGTTCTTTTTTTTAAGTTTGTTTATTTTTTAGTAATCTCTACACCCAACATGCAGACTCTGAGATTAAGAGTCACACACTCCTCTGACTGACACAGCCAGGTGCCCTTAAAATTCTTTCTTCTGATGTGTATTCTCCGTATTAAACTCTCCAAAAATCTGAGATTAAACAGACTATAATCTCAGCCATCCCCAAATTTATATTTGTTGAGCAAGTACTGTTCACAGATCTAACTGGATATTCAAGAGCTTACTATGCATGGCCTTTAGATAAAAGTTTTCGCTATCACTTCTTTAATTCTGTACCCAAATCCTACTTCCCAAAATTCTGCTTTGGCTTACACATCAGTATCCCACCTACTTCCTACCTCTGTCTTCAACCCCAAACCTCTTCCTTTAGACATTCCATCCACTCACAAAATTTTAAACTCACAAATTTGTATTATGCTGCTAATGCCTTTGCCAACACTAAATCTTGAGTCCTTGTTTCCTAAATAGCAACATTATAACCTCTTTGCCTTGATCTCCAGTTTCCTAGGCTCCTGCATTCCTGCTCACAGCAATCTGTCTAGACATTAACTGCTATCACCTGCCAGTCTGAGGTTTTAATGTAATTTAAGGGTTCAAGTTTAGAACAGAGGTCTTTTTCTGGATGCTTTTGTTTTAGACAAAACACTAAAGCTAGGACCCTATTTTTCACTTGTAACAATGGTTCAGAGGAATATCTATAGACTTTTGTCAGCAGGAACAGAATTCCTTGGCTATTCTAATCCCTAGATTGATTTTCATTCATAATTCCTTTGCTCTGGGAAACGGATTACCATCCTAATCAAGCTAAACACAGTGATAAAACTACAGAGAAAGATAAGGTAGATGGTGGGTAACAGCCACCTAGCTGAATTTGTAAATACTTACCTGAAACTGATTAATAAAAGGTGCTATATTTAATCCAAGAGTGCGCTCTGTTCCTTGAACAGCACTCTCTTCTACCAGTGTCTGTGATTCCACAAGCAACCCAAACATCAGCACATACTGAGGAAAGATCTTGCCTCCAGATTGTAGCAAACACCTAGAGAAGGAAAAATGTTTCATTTTTTAGTATTTTTTATTTTTTGGAGATTATGCTGTGCTCTTTATTGCCAAAAATAAAAACTTTTAAAAAGACAACTCCTGTTAATAAATATCCCTTCCTTTCTGTACCCTATCTCTGGTTTGCTCCTGGCTTCTTCCACCAGACTAATTAACTGCTTTAGGCTAAGGAGTCAAGGCCAGACCTTCAGTAAGGGCCTTGTTCCTCAGCCCTCAAACTTAAATCATTAGGCCACTGGCAGTGAAGTTCATAACTGATGGGTAGAGAATGAAATACAGGGTTTATCTGGGGTGGGGGGCAGCCAGAGTCTAACGCTATTCTTTAAGGGTAAATGAGGGATACTCAGGGGTCTGAACAAAGTATCAGTATGCTGGCTCTGGGCAGAGACTGGAAGGATTTGTAGGGAACCACTAGGTTCTATGACTCAATCCTAACACCAGAAGCCCAACACACAAATGTGAAAACTCCCAACATTTGGACAGAAAGGGTTTAAAGACCCCAAATGACCAAAAGAGGAAGTCTAGCTCTGTGGTTCTCAGCAGAAGACTGCCCCATTAAGGCACATTAGGAAATGTGCTGGAAGGAATGTCTGGAGTGCTACTGGCAATTAGTGGGCAGAACCAGGGAAGCTAGATGTCTAGTAAAACCTGTACTGCTTCAGATACCAGTGGCACCCCTGGCCATCTGTGCAAAGGCTAGGAGAGGACTCCTTTTCCCCTTGGCTACCTTTCTAGTGGGTACCGATGGCTTGCCAAGCAGCCTGAGCAACAGCTGTCCAGACTCCAGAAGCTAGGAGAATCTCTGGAGAGACCAGAGAACCAGCTACTGGCTTAGATCCCCCCCTTTTGCAGGAACAGGTGAGCTGCTGCTAGTTTATGGTTAGTACATCACTCTGGATCTCGTGGTTTAACTCGGCCTGTAGATCATCACTTAGTTTTTTCTTTAATCCAGAGAGGGCTGAGAAGACAACTGTTTTAGGGCGCAGAGAGCCACAGGACTCCAGGTTGTAATAAAACCTTTCTGGCTTGCCGTTGGGATCGTAGGGAGCCTGTGACTCATCTTCATCCAGCTCCGAGTATTCACTCTTGGGCCATTCCTCAGGCTTGGGGGTACAAGGCATTGTCAGGATCATATTCAAAAGCTACCCCTGCCGTAGGGTTCCACTTGGCATGCTCCTTGCCAAAGCTCTTTTTGGCATAGGCTCGAAGTCTTAGCTCTTGACCTTCCTCATCTTGACAATGAGGATGTCATCCTGCTCCACATAGTCACTGGGGTCATTATCTCAGTTCCGGAACGTCACCGGAATGACCCGGGGGCTGTTGGAGATGAGGTCTCGAGATGTAACATGCCAAGTCTGGTCTTCATTGCACCACATGTCAAGGGTGAACTCCACCGAGTACTTGGGGCAGAACTCCTCACACATGCAGTCCTGGGAATACTGCAGCTTATCCACAATGTCATCACTAGTGAGGGAGATTTAGTCCAAGTCTGTGAGCAATGAACTCATCATGAAGGACTGAGGAACTGGCATCAATTTGGACCCAGTCAATGGCTATTATGGGCACCTCAGTGATGAAGACCCTCTGTATAGAGTTGGTCACTGCCAGGTCTGTGTTCTCAATGATGAACTTGACATTCTCATCAGTAACTTCCGTGATCCGCACAGTGGGCTGGTTGGCATACAGCACTGCACCCCACAGCCCACCACCTCCTGGGATTCAGCTCCGTGGTGCCACCGCCACCACCCAGGAAAAATGTTTTAAAAAGCATCTTGATTCCTTATGTTTTATAAATACCAATAACTAAATCATTATGCACTGGTGAGCTACAGATTGTACATAATCTAATAGACTTTATGTTATTGGCTGGTAGTTGAGAGTGGTAAACCCTGGAAATAATTTCCCAACAAGTCAAAGTGGCCGCTGATCCATGAAAGAGAAAAATAAGCAGTTCGCTTGGATGGATATAAGTCTTTAGATTTAGGAAGAATCATCAATGGATATTAAAACTAGTGGGTGAAAGTTCTATTAAGAAAAAGATATTTACACAGTCTCAAAATATTGATCCCACAAATGACTAACTCATTACAAAGGGAAACATAGCAATTTATTGTGGAAAAACCTGGTGGATACAATTTAAGCCAAATGATCTAAATTAACATCAACAAGAATGGGATACAGCAAAATTATGTGCTTCCTAATGTGACAAAACTTCGGTGAATATTCCTCTGGAAAATGGGCGATCCAAATCTAATAAAAAAAAAAAAATAAGGAACATTCTACAAAATAAATGGCCTATACTCACCAAAACTATTAATGTCACGAAAGACTTAGAAACTATTCCAGAATAAAGGAGACTAAAGAGAAGGGATAATTAAATGCAATGTGTGACCCTCAATTGGATTCCAAACCAGGAATAAAAAAGCTATAAAGGATATTATTGCAGGGCAGCCCAGGTGGCTCAGTGGTTTAGCCCAGCCTTCAGCCCAGGGCGTGATCCTGGAGACCCAGGATCAAATCCCACATCAGGCTCCCTGCATGGAGCCTGTTTCTCCCTCTGCCTGTGTCTCTGCCTCTCTCTCACTCTGTGTGTTCTCATAAACAAATAAATAAAATCTTTAAAGAAAAAAAAAAGGATATTATTGCAACAAATGATGAGATCTGAGTAAGGCTGTACACTACATATAGGTATTGTAACCATCCTTCCTGATTTTGACAGCTATAAGACGGTTATATAAATGAATATCCTTGTTCTTAAATATACGAAAGTATTTAAGGGTAAAAGAACATAGTAACTGGAACTTACTCTAAATGGTACAAAGAGAATAATAAAGCAAATGTGGCAAAATATTAACAATTTGTGTATCTGGGTATAAGGCATATGTTAAAAGTTCTTTTTTTGTTGTTAAAAGTTCTTTGTACTAGGGGCACCCGGGTGGCTCAGTGGTTGAGCGTCTCTGCCTTTGGCTCAGGTCCTGATCCCGGGGTCCTGGATCAAGTTCTACATCAGGCTTCCCTCAGGCAGCCTGCTTCTTCTTCTGCCTATGTCTCTGCCTCTCTTTGTGTGTCTCCCATGAATAAATAAAATAAAAAAAAAAAAAAATTCTTTGTACTATTTAACTTCTATTTAAGACTGAAATTATTTCAAAATAAAAGTTACAGACACCTGGGTGGCTCAGAGGTTGAGCATCTGCCTTGGGCTCAGGTCATGATCCCAGAGTCTATGAAGAGCCTGCTTCTCTCTCTGCCTATGTCTCTGCCTCTCTCTCTGTGTCTCTCATGAATGAATAAATAAATAAATAATAAATAAATAAAACTTAAACACTGAAAGAAAAAATGTAATTAAAAATCCAATGTTCTAGTAAAGAATGTGAGGAAGAGTAAATAAAGGGAACAAAACCCATTCTCCTCTTAAAACTGATCTTGGGGGAATGTCTGGGTGGCTCAGTGGTTGAGCATCTGTCTTTGGCTCAGGGCGTAATCCTGGAGTCCCAGGATCGAGTCCTACATCCAGCTCCCTGCAGGGAGCCTGCTTCTCCCGATGCCTGTGTCTCTGCCTCTCTCTCTGTCTCTCTCATGAATAAATAAAATCTTAAGAAAAAAAAAATGATCTTGGGTTCACCTTTTGTTTTTCTGGAAATCCCATAAAGGTGGAATGTCAGCTATCTTAGTGTGATCAGCAACACTGTTTAGGATGAACATTTTTTTTAAACTGCTTCTTAATAGGAAAAGTGCATCCAGATTGATGGAATTAGGAACAAACTATAAGCACTGGGAAACTATATCATCTTGGGCTTCCCTGAGTGTGGTGTATCTCATAACCAAGTGTTCCTGTTGCTACACCAATGGGAGATATTAGTTCCTATGTGAAATTTAGATCTTAAGCCAAGGCAACTCCCATGCCCACCACTACAGTCTTATTTCCTCACACCTCAGCTATGAGAATCATGAGGGGGTGAGTGGGTCATCTATTGCCATCACATGAAGCAGAGTTGGAGAATATTTTAAGATACTTTAAACCAAGTCATTATTTTCATTTGCCGCATTTACAATCACACATTAAATCCCTTAATTTTACTTGAATATTCTAGGCTGGTTTCCATCTGAACTAGGACAGGCTATTTATAGACAATGGAGTTCATATTGTAGCTTTCTTTTTTTTTTTTAAAGATTTTATTTATTTATTCATGAGAGACAGAGAGAGAGAGAGAGAGAGAGAGGCAGAGACACAGGCAGAGGAAGAAGCAGGCTCCATGCAGGGAGGCCAACGTGGGACTTGATCCCGGGTGCCCAGGATAAAGGCAGCGCTAAACCGCTGAGCCACCCGGGCTGCCCTGTATGTATCTTTCATAGTAAATTTTTCCTCTTAAATACATATAGTAAGGATCTATTTGTAATAACATAGGGCTAAAATTTGGTTTTGCCAAGACATTGTGTGTATCTAAAAAAAACATTTCCTACAAGTTACTAAAATATTATGCTATGTTGTTTCCCTGAATAGGTCATTAAAATCTTGACAAACTATAAAATACCCATTCCTCAAAACTACTTTGGCATTTTGCTCTTAGTTTCAAATCATTAATTCTTCGGGTTTTTACTAACCTGATTCTCTCAACCATTTAAAAATACTGTAGCTAAAGCCAGAATGACAAATTAAACTATACCAAGACATGGCAACTAAATGTAATGCAGGACCCTTGATTAGAACCTAGATTGGGAAGAAAGAAAGGAATATAGGATATTACTGGGACAGCAGGGGAAATTTTAATATAGACTATCTATTAAATAATAGTATTTTATCAATGTTCAATTTCCTGAGTGTGATTTTATTGTGATATGTAGGGGAAAAGCCTTTATTCTAAGGAGACACATGCTAAATGTTAGAGTGAAGGTTATAAAGACAAAACAGTAGTCTTGTATTCACCATTACTATTCTTGCAATTTTGCTTAAGTTTGAAATTTTGAAATATTTCAAAATAA